TGTCGTCCTCAGAGCGATAGACTATCATCCTCAGAGCGATAGACTATCATCCTCAGAGCGATAGACTATCATCCTCAGAGCGATAGACTATCATCCTCAGAGCGATAGACTATCATCCTCAGAGCGATAGACTATCATCCTCAGAGCGATAGACTATCATCCCCAAACCCTTAATGAAAGTATTAAACCATCGTCCTTTAAGGGTAACATACATCATCGTCGTCAAGGGTTAAAACAGCGTCCTTAAAGGGTTACATCCTCATTTTCAAAGGGTTAAACCATCATCCCCAAAAGGGTTTAAGCCATCATACCTAAATAAATACAAGTTATCTATTGTTTTAAAGTTATTCTGTACAAGTTACTTATACAATTAGTTAATGGTGAGAATAATTACTCGTAGTTCTTCTTTCTTTGTTTCATTTCTTTGTCAATCAATTACATCTTTTCCCCGTTTTATCGACATTTCTTTTCTATCTTATATTTCTCATTTTTTTTTCATTTATTCTATCTATTCTCGTCTTCTTTCTATGTCTATCCATAAGCCTTCTCCCTTCTCTTCTTTATTTCCTCTTTTCGCCCATTCCTTCTCTTTGCCCTTCTTCATCCGCCATTTCCCCCCCCCCTCTTCCCCGTTTACCAGCGCCCCGAGACAGAATCGAGAAGTGACAGGAAAAATTCGATTGCAGACAGATTCTTCACTGTTTCAAATTATCTGTAAATTGCATCTTTCAGCGACTCACTCAAAGCTATCACACACCCACACGCATTCACCCACACACAACCATCCGTAACCACATGCAACCACCCACACCTATACATGCAACCACTCACATGCAATCACCCACACACAAACATTCACACCCACAAGCAACCATCCACACCCACACATATCCACCCACACCCACCCATCCATCCATTCATTATCTCTCTCTCTCTCTCTCTCTCTCTCTCTCTCTCTCTCTCTCTCTTGCACTTTTCCATGAACCAAAAAGATGAGACAACGATAGGAAAGAAAATTGCTCCCTCAGTTATTTAATAGGAAGAACCAGAGTGAGTGTAGCGGGTCCTTTCGGGGAACTCCAGATGCCAGTTCTTTTTTGCCATTCCAGGAAACAAATTCGAGAGGACGAGGAATTTTCCCTAGTTAGTCCAGCCAGAAGTGATGAATCTCGTGCAAAGTTATATTTGTATCCCCTTAAAAATGACCAAGTTGAAAATCTCATAACAATCCAATAGTTTATCAACCATTCCACTAGTACCCTATACCATTCTATCTCAACCACCGATTTGTGCAAAAATACTCTCAAAATAACGCTAAAACCTGGACTTATCTTCACCGCAGTGTTCTTGTCCTGATTCCCGTTTTCTGTGATGCCACGTAAAAGTAGGAAGTGTTCCATTCACGTATATATAAAGGGGGGGGGTGTGTTCTGGTAACATTCGAGGACGATGTTGGATGGTGTGTTTATGTTTAGATTAAGATGTGTGTGTATGTATGTGTAATGTGTGTATGTATGCGTAATGTGTGTGTGTGTGTGTATGTGTGTGTGTGTGTGTATGTGTAATGTGTGTATGTATGCGTAATGTGTGTGTGTGTGTGTATGTGTGTATGTATGCAATGTGTGTGTGTGTGTGTGTGTGTGTGTGTGTGTGTGTATGTGTAATGTGTGTATGTATGCGTAATGTGTGTGTGTGTATGTATGTGTAATGTGTGTATGTATGAGTAATGTATGTGTGTGTGTGTGTATGTGTAATGTGTGTATGTATGCGTAATGTGTGTGTGTGTGTATGTGTAATGTGTTTGTGTGTGTATGTATGCGTGTAATGTGTGTGTATGTAAGTGTGTGTGTATGTGTGTGTGTGTGTGTACATATTTAAAAAAACCCTCTTAATATCACTTTTTAAATATTAATTCTAATAATCTATCGCATGTGATACGCCCATTCAACCCCAGCCTTCGATCTACACAAACACAAGGGTCAGGGCTGTTTGTTGACACCGCTGAGTTATAACAAACACACAAACACCTGATTTTTGTAGAAGTTGTTATGTAGTGTAGAAACTAACACTTGGTGAGTAATGCTTCTGAACCTTGGCTGTTGAAGCACCTAATTAATAAAAAAACAACAACAACAATTACAATGAGTTATTTAATCTGAGCAATAAACGCTATATAAGTTGAGACAAAAAAGAGATAATGAGGTAATAAAGGTGAAAATAACTCAGATAAATAACATAGTGGAGAACAATAACAAATAACTCAGATAAATAACAGTAAAGAACAATAACAAGTAACTCTAATAAATAAAACAGTGAGAAACAATAAATAACCCAGATAAATAAAAAGAACAACAATAAAAACTTAGATAATGTTATAGTGAAGAACAAGAACAAATAATTGGATAAATGACACAATGAAGAACAATAACAAATAACTCAGATAAATAACATAGTGAACAAGAACAAATAAACTCAGATAAATGACAATGAAGAACAATAACAAATAACTCAGATAAATAAACATAGTGAAGAACAAGAACAAATAACTCAGATAAATAACATAGTGAAGAACAATAACATAACTCAGATAAATAACATAGTGGAGAACAATAACAAATAACTCAGATAAATAACAGTAAAGAACAATAACAAGTAACTCTAATAAATAAAACAGTGAGAAACAATAATACACACAAAATTAAGTCAGTTGTAAGGTGGTTTAATAGCCTTTACAACCCATTGCAGGTGGGGTGGATATAGTATACTGCATAACAAACCAATAGTACACAAGGAGATAGGGTGGTTGGCACTGTACCCGATTGGGTTATTTCCCTCAACTGTAAATTTAGGTGATAACTGAGAGTGTCCTGAACCTATGGATAGACAGACATACGGGCAGACAGACAGACAAATACAAACAGTTGCATCGATAAACTTAAAGATAGACGGATGGACAACATACGGGTTAGACAAATAGACAGACAGAATGACAGGCATAGAAATAGACAGACGGACGGACGGACGGACAGAGAAACAGAGATTATAGCTCATATATCTTCCACCAAAAGAAGGAAAAAAATAGAAGGAAATTGAAAGAAAGAAAATGACAATAATCGAAGGTAAACTGTGAAGTAAAATGAAAGAAGAAAATAAAGAAAATAGAAAATATAGAAAGGAAAAGAAAAAAAAAGATGAGTAGTAGTTTAATAAAGAATCGAAAAAAAGAGAATTATTGATTATTTTTAAATTAACTGTAAAGTAAATAGAAGGAAGAAGAAGAGGAAGGGGTGTGAATTAGAGGAGGAAAAGGGGGAAGGAAGAGATGGAAGAAGACGAAAAAGAGATAGGAAGAACAGGAGGAGATTTAGCAGTAGGTGAATCGAGGTTAAAGGAAGCATAGGAGGCAGGAAGAAGAGAAAGCAACAGCAGAAGATCGAATATAAACTCTCGAAATACGAAGCAAAAAAGAAAGAAGAGAAGGAAGAAGAGAAAGGAAGAACAAGAGGGGGAGGAGGAGTAGGAGGAGAACGAGGAGGGGATGGGGAAGAGGAAGGTGGGTGGCAGAGCGGGGAGGCGGGCGGTGAGCGGCAGTCGACCGCGGGCCGTCACCATGGCAAGGTAGTAAGAGTGCTGGCCCACACGCTGACACCCGCGCGCCCCGCCACCATCGTTACCCCACGCCACGCCACGTGAACATGTCCCTACTGACCATCGAGGACACCCAACCCTCTCGCTGTGTCAATGACCAAGCTCTAATTAGGGATTAAGAGCAGTAGTGGCGAGTGGATTCGTTTTTGTATCTGGTGCAAAAAAAAAAAGAAGGAAGATATTGTGAGGTGAGGGAGTTATTATATGTGTGACAGATGAGCGATAAATGGGGAGGAGAAAGTGTCTTTTCGTTAAGCACTCAGATGGATAAAGGGGAAGAGGCAGGCAGAAGGTGGTGTGTCGCCGCCTGGGTTAGACGGGGCCGCTGAAGAGGGTCGTCGCCAAGTTGGGCCCAATACCGGACAAAGGTGATCAACAAGCAGGGCCGCACAGGTGTCGTGGCGCAACCTCACGGGGCTCGCCACTAACAACACAACTCAGGGTGGCTTGTGTATCCACGGTGGGAAAGTTAACTGTTTATATGACACTATGGAGAGAATATAACTCCTGTGATACACGAGAGCCCTGCATGATGGAGAGGAATTTCTAGGAGTATTGACATAAAGAGAGGAGACTAAGGAAGAAAACTCATCAGCAACGAGAGATATTCGGTGACTCCTTCTGTAGCGCTTGCAGCAGGAGGAACCGCTCACTCCCAAGGAAAGTTAAAACAATTGGTGCAAAAAGGAGTCCAAGAAAAGACAGGGATATCAAAATGCAGATTGGACTTGTTGCGGAGGAGTGAATGGAAGATGGAGCGAAGAATATAAAGACTGTTTCAAGAGAGAGTAAGAGAGAAAGAGAGGGAGAGAGAAGGAGAGAACAAGACAGATGTAGTCAAAACTTGAGCGTTAAGATAAGATGTGGTAAACGGGACCTGTGGTGTGGTCGTCCCAAGAGTGATCCCAGGGTGTAGTTGGCAGCTGGGGTGCAATAACAGACCCAGAGTGTGGCGCAGGTGTAGCCAAGATTTAGAAATAAAAAATATAGTAAAGGTGTATCTAGGATCTGAATGGAAATGAAAAGAGCAGATGTTATGACTCTCGGTGCAGCACAGGTGTGACAAGGACGCAAACATAGAAAAGGGTAGAGGGGAAAACTGAAGCTTAAAACAGGTATACAGTAGAGAAAAAAACTAAAAATTCTGAGAGTACAAACCACAAATGTTATTACAGAAATCCTGGAGTACTCAGCAGGTGTTATAACGAGGAAGAGCTGGAGTAGAGCGCAGGTGTAACGGGGAGGACCCGGTAATGAGAGAGAGGAGCAAGCGGCTCCTCGACCCCTGGTGGGATTCCTGAAAGTAGGTGTGAGGCAGAATATCTCGGTGACACTCAGCCGTCCCTGACAAGATGTGGCTGACTCTCTGGCGCACCTTCGGCATCGTGTTCTTCATCGCTTTCCTGCCAGGTGAGTATTACCTCAGGTTCTGACAGTGTTATGCTGAACGACATTTATTGAGGAGGGTAGTTTGGCTCAAGATTCGTCTCCCAAAAGGATCAGCAATCTACCAAAATAAATCATTGATGTTATTATCAGTTGGCCACAATTATAGCTCCTGGGGTAAATGCTAAGGGTTCGTTACGTATGTTGTCTGTAGGGAGTCATCGCGAGGGGGCTGTTAAGGTACAATACTAAAGACGGTACTATCAACAAAACTATGAAATTCACAGAGATACGAGTAGGTTTATTGATGTGAGGGCAGTGATGTCCCTCTGCCAGACCAACAAGGTTATAAACTGCTCACCCCCAATGACGGAGGCAATAGGGAGGGGGAAGTTGTGGGTTCGATAAAGATGTACAGTAAACCTCTCTAAGATCTATCAGAAAATCTCCTGAGATTCCTATCAAATTCATTACTTTTTTTTTCTGAATTCATTACTCAAGAGCAGCACCAGAGGCAGACACATGTACTGTACTGCTGGGGACACTTGTCAAGTCCAATTATAAAGACTGTTGTTTTGTTTAATCATCAGGTAACTATTCTTATATATATATATATATATATATATATATATATATATATATATATATATATATATATATATATATATATATATATATATATATATATATATATATATATATATGTGTGTGTGTGTGTGTGTGTGTGTGTGTGTGTGTGTGTCCCAAACGAGTGACAACGATAGATAACTATTTTCTTCATATAAACTAGAGGTACAAATATCTTTAGCGGACAAATAACCAAAGTTACTCTCGTCAGTATACTGTTCCCCCAACTCATCGCTTCGGCACAGAGGAGAAAATTTTCCTTCCATCACCGAGAAATTTTGAAGCCATATTTTGCTGCGCCTCCCGTGTTGGTCCGCACAACCAGCTCCCTATCTCTTCTCTGTCAATAACTTCGAAAAACACGGCCACCCAGGTGCTGTTGGCTTCAGTAACGACACCACCCAGGTGCTGTTTGCTTCAGTAACGACGCCACCAAGGTGCTGTTGGCTTCAGTAACGACGCACCCAGGTGCTGTTGGCCAGTAACGACGCCACCCAGGTGCTGTTGGCTTCAGTAACGACGCCACCCAGGTGCTGTTAGCTTTAGTAACGACGCTACCAAGGTGCTATTGGCTTCAGTAACGACGCCACCCAAGTGCTGTTGGCTTTAGTAACGACATTACCCAGGTGCTGTTGGCTTCAGTAACGACGCCAGTTGGCTTTAGTAACGACATCACCCAGGTGCTGTTGGCTTCAATAACGACACCACCCAGACTATTAAATTCTTCAGTAACAAAACTCTCGGGTTAATGCACCAGATCACTTGATTAAGGCTTCCGATATCAAAGCCTTCAGGGTATTGTAGGCTTCAATAATACAGCCAACGGGTTACTGTAGGTTTCAGTAACTAACCAAGGATATACTGTAGGCTTCAATAATACAGCCAACGGGTTACTGTAGGTTTCAGTAACTAACCAAGGATATACTGTAGGCTTCAATAATACAGCCAACGGATTACTGTAGGTTTCAGTAACTAACCAAAGATATACTGTAGGCTTCAATAATACAGCCAACGGGTTACTGTAGGTTTCAGTAACTAACCAAGGATATACTGTAGGCTTCAATAATACAGCCAACGGGTTACTGTAGGTTTCAGTAACTAACCAAGGAGAAACTGTAGGCTTCAATAATACAGCCAACGGATTACTGTAGGTTTCAGTAACTAACCAAGGATATACTGTAGGCTTCAATAATACAGCCAACGGGTTACTGTAGGTTTCAGTAACTAACCAAGGATATACTGTAGGCTTCAATAATACAGCCAAAGGATTACTGTAGGTTTCAGTAACTAACCAAGGATATACTGTAGGCTTCAATAATACAGCCAACGGGTTACTGTAGGTTTCAGTAACTAACCAAGGATATACTGTAGGCTTCAATAATACAGCCAACGGGTTATTGTAAGTCTCAGTATCGTAGTCAACTGGCTATGATAAGGCTACAGCAATATAACCAAAGGACTATCGTAATCTTACACATAATAGCCATCCTCAGACACATACTAGGAGGCGATTCAAACAAGTTATTTTTTAAGCTTCAGCAAAACAACTTTGGCAACTATTCTACGCTACTGTAAGCTTCAGTAATACGTCACTTGAATATTTTAGGCTTCAACAAATAAACTTTTTGAATACTGTAGTTCAGCAATAAAGCCATTCGGGTATTGTAAGCTTCAATAAACTACTAAATATTTTAAGCTTCAGCAAGGAAACCACCAATTAATGAAAGTTTCAGCAAGGAAACCACCAATTAATGAAAGTTTCAGCAAGGAAACCACCAATTAATGCAAGCTTCAGCAAGAAAGCCACCAATTAATGCAAGCTTCAGCAAGAAAGCCACCAATTAATGCAAGCTTCAGCTAGGAAATTATAATATTACCCTCAGAATATCGTAGGCTTCAGCTAACAACGCTTCAAGAGTTTGCAGGCTTCAACAATGATACCTTTATATATTGGAAGCTTCATCTAAGACACCACCAAATACCACAAGCTTCAACACTAGGCCCATGGACGACATACGAGGATATAAACATCTGAAAATACCAACATTGAAGCCCTTATTATTATTATTATTATTGTTATTGTTATTGTTATTATTACTATTATTATTATTATTATTATTATTAACATTATTATTATTATTAACATTATTATTATTATTATTATTATTATTATTATTATTATTATTATTATTAATTATTATTATTTATTATTATTATTATTATTATTATTATTATTATTATTATTATTATTATTATTATTATTATTATTATTATTATTATTTATTATTTATTATTTATTATTATTATTATTATTATTGTTTATTATTATTATTATTATTATTATTATTATTATTATTAAAAAACAAAAACAGACACACATATACTATATGCACACGTACATGTTATTTGCCCAAAAACTAATACACACACACACACACACACACACACACACATGTAGGACCTCCCAATAGATTGTACTTAAAGTTTATGTAGGTAAGTTATTTCACTTGATGGCCACCCCCCCCCCACTCTCTCTCTCTCTCGTCCCATATACCGACGATGTATTCAAAGTAATCCATCTACATAAGAAACCATAAAGAAAATAGTTACCCATCATCCAGTTTAACACTAAAACACTCACTCTATGTAATAAAAAACTAATTACTAGCAACTACTAATTACTTAACCATCCGATTAACATAACACTTAAGGTTTTTTTTTCTCTGAGTCAAGATTCACATTGATTCTGTACGTAAAATTTGTTTGGTAATGGTGTCAAGTGAAGGTTTATTAGGAAGGTAGAGTCTCAGATTGATGTGGGTGCCATTTTGAAGTTTTAATTTTGTGTTGTAGTTAAAGTGAGGTAAGTGGATTAGTTCGTCAATAATATTTGGAGTCACGATGGAGTTTGATTTACGAAGCATTTAGACTCTGGTTAATGTGGGATATTACCTGTGTATATTGACGTAACGAGGCGAGGGTCAAATGACTCTGCTCCGAGTGAATTACATTGAAGTTCATTTCGATTAATTTTAGGTTGGCGAGTGTTCGTAGTCTGCCCAGTGCTTTAGTCGTCTCTCACAGCCTGACTCAAATCGAAACAGAGTATTACAGGTGTGAGTTGATGTTAGTCCAGGTATAACTTGATGTGTGTTAGTGAAGAAGTAACTTTATATGGTCTTCGAGGATGATACTGGTCTGTGTGGAGTGTTAGTAGTACACCTGACATATTATTTAAGGTGTTATTGTTGGGGGGGGGGGTGCAGTAATCGTAATTAATGAAGGTATACCTGATGTTTATTCTTTACCCACTCTGCATTATGACCTAAAATGACCAAATGAACCAAATATCCTCAAATGATCTCTGTGTTTTCCTCTCCATTTCTCTTAACAAACTTCCTACATGAAATTTGGCGAACTTTATTTCACAAACACCAAAAGTTAATCAAAAAAGTTTCTCCAGCAGTGACCTTTAGTTAATCAATATCCAGGGTACAGAGGGGCACCAGTGACCCCGTTATGAGAGGTCACGAGAGAGTAATAACCCGGTGTCAAAATTTTACATAAAAACATTTTACATTATCAGGTTTTATTTTCATTATTGTTCATTAAGCTTACGTGATGCCTTCATTTAATTTATAACACATTAACCCCAATCACAGGTATGTATTTATCTTAAGTATAATCGTTAATGAGTAGTGTATTTACTTATATATAATAGAATATACAAGGACCTAGGTTATAGAAGCTCAGATATACATTATAACATCAACAACATGAACGATCAAACAATTACACGGGATCACTTGATTTACACTTGACTCACCATCTTCATCAACTAACTGCTCTCGTCTCTCAAGAATTTCTTATGTTCTCTTAACTTTACCTGCTCCTTCCATAGAGTCGCGTTATTTGGCGTCATCACTAAAGCCATATTTGAATCCCATTTGTTGCTATCAGTATGTCTCAGTATGTCTACTTTATGCCTTCACTGATAGAACGTTAATAAGACCAAGACAGAGAAGAAGGGTTGATACTTAACCCAACTAGTCACAGTTGTCTCATACTCCAGTGACTGTCGGCAGGCCAGGGGGAGGACCCGTCGTGCTCGGATAAGGCTTTTTTTTCTGTTGGACACCGCCTTAATGTTATGCTGGATGATGATTCTGTGTTATAATGGAATCTTACGAGTGGTTATGATGTAGAGCACTAACTTAACCAAACCGAACCTAACCTAGCCTAGCATGACCTAACGAAAATCATAATTTTCTTAAGAGTTAAGTTAGGCGCAGAATCCTTAAGTTTCCAAGGTTCCGAGATCGCGCAAACATTTTAATCTTGCACAAGATAATCTAAGACTTTCCTTCCTTTCTTCCTTCCTTCCTTCCTTCCTTCCTTCTTTCCTTCCTTCCTGTAGATGTTGATTAGCATCCTCTACACTCCCTCATGAGCGTTTTGATGTGCTCGTGATAGAAACTTCTTGCACCATATGTTTGAGTCGTCATACGTCATAAGCAACAATATTTCCTGATAAACGGAATTACTTGAGAGTCTTATTCAACAGTAGTAAGGACATAAACATACAGCGGTAGTTAGCGGTAGTCCAATTGCCAAAGATCAAAGGTTAATGGCCAGTTGTTTGATAATCAGTTTGTTTACAATATCATTTCAATATATGTGTGTGTGTGTGTGTGTGTGTGTGTGTGTGTGTGTGTGTGTGTGTGTGTGTGTTTTGAGGATTAATGAAGAGTAAACAAGTAAACATAAGCCTTGAGTCATATATCAAAGGCAGTAACACACATGATAAAAACACAGTCGTCCATCCAGCCTTGAATACTAATGACTATAGTTCCTACCTCTGCACACGATTCAAATCTCTTCTGTATTTTGCCAGTAAATTCACAAGTAATTCCGGTTTAATGTACAACAAACTCCTGTGAAAAATTACGCCACTGTGTTTTGCCAGCACCCCTAATACTTTCCCCACCAGTGTGTGAGTCTATCTTTGTCTGAGTGTTTCCTCTGAGGCTGGCATTAATCGCCTATAAAAATGTTGGAGTAATAACTTGAATTTTACTTCATCAAATTTTATATTTTTGAGAGTTGGGGGCAATCAGTCAGAGTGGCTACGCTTAAGACGAAAATGTTGGCTGTATTAAGTTTAAATTCCTATTGTTTTTTGAGCTTTCAAATTCCACTTATCAAGGACAAACGATGAAATAAATATATACTTTATCTGTTTGAGTTTTTCTTTGTAATAGTTAGTTCATGTGAGTTTGTTCATATGCCCGTGTAGTAAATGTTGCTTCAAGGGGGTTCAACATTTCAACATAAAAACATTATAGATGTGGTTAAAGAATGTAGTATTTATTAATAGTGTATAAACAGGCTTCGTGCAATGTTGGGTTCTTGGGTTAATTCCTTAGCTTAACTTAAA